CCCCCCCCCCAGTGAGGCACTAATATATGATGTAATTTCTTGAGTACTTGACTGTTGTTAGTCTAGTTCCACTAGGATGTGAGCCTCTTAAAGTCAGGCAGTGATTCAGACTCTGGCGAGGCCCTCCCAGTGTTAGCCTGAAGCTTGGGCTGTCAAGGGTTTATATTACAGGTTTCTAAGCTGAGAGCACACCTTCCAGGATCCTGAACTCCCACAGCCCTAGACTTGGTGTCCTCAGACGCTTATAATTCACTGTCATTTAGTGCCCGGGCACCAAGAAGCCAGGACAAGGCACAGCCTTGTGCTGGATCTTTGCCAGGGTGGTTGCTGCTTTTGTATAATTCCCCCGTTGGTGGTTAGCATTCTAGGCCATCAAACCGAAACTGCTGTTTTCTGCTTTCTTCTTTCAGTTCACTATTAAACCATTGGATAAGAAAATCGATGTCTTCAAGTTTAACTCCTCAAAGCTTCGTGTTAATAAGCTGGTAAGTGGAGATCCTGGTTTTTATTCCTGTTAGCTATAGTTTTTCTGAGAAATTGAACACCCTTTTTGAAAGAATATCAGTGACATCTTGGAACATGCTTTTCTGATAGGCCTTGAAAAACTCTTCTCATCGAAAAGTTGAACCTAAATTCTATGATGAACGTTTTTTAAAAATTATTTTTACTGAACTACTCCATATATAAAAAAGGATAAGTATAATGTATATATATGTTATAAAGAATGACAAAAATAAACACCTATGCACCCACTACCCAGCTTTAAGAAATACCCCCCAATACTATTGAAACCACTCATTAGCTAGTCTCCCCCTCTCTCCCCCTCAGGGCGATCATTATCCTCAGCTATATGCTCATTGCTCTTGCTTCTCATCAGAACTTTATTTTTGTGGCAAAAGGAATATACTAGCAAGTTTTGTATAAGTGCTTGCAACTGTATTCTCTGTCACTACCTTTTTACAACTACCTGTTGTCCCAGCCTGACCTGCTGGGTGAGCTTTCCTGTCCTCCCCACCTGCAGAGCCACGTCTGGACTCGGCAGAGTGAGGTGCAGCCAGAAGACCTGCTAAAGGGTCTTCTGTTTCCCTCTTCACTTGTGATTTCTGTCCCCTGGCACACCTGGGCACCTTCAGTTTGCTGACTCCAGAGCCGAGAGCACTAGAGGCCACCAGCAGGGCTGTGGTGCTTCGCTCCACACTCTCCTCTTGAGGCTCCCTGCTGCCCTCAAGGGCCCTCAGACCAAGATGCCGCAGCGCCCGCGAGCTGTAAGCAGTGGAGTAAACGTGCGGGTTTAACGTTTCTCCTGCTTCCACGGCCACAGATTCTCCAGCTGTGTATTGGGAACCATGACCTGTTTATGAGGAGGAGGAAGGCCGATTCTTTGGAAGTTCAACAGATGAAAGCCCAGGCCAGGGAGGAGAAAGCCAGGAAACAGGTGAGCGAGACCATGTTGGGGGTGCTGTTACCCCCTGGTGATCCTGGCCCGGGGAGTAAGGAGTGGTTATGGGCTAGCCAGAGTCCTTTGGTCCTGGATGATGCGTACTCTTATTTTATCTCTTTTGGATCTTTCTTGGCTGATGCCCAGCTTGTGGGGTGTCAGCTCTGAAATTGAGGAATAAATTCTAATAGCATATCTAAAAGCAACGTCTCTAATTATTTCTCCGCTTAAGTGAAGTGGGGAGAAACGGCCAAGCCTGCATGTACCCACCATTCATCCATCTCTTGTCCATCTAGCTAAGCTTTCCTTTTGCCTGCCTGTCTCCTTTGCTCGGCCTTCTCCCTTTCTAATTAGATGGTGATGGAATGCACGGCAGCATTTCAGGGCTGCTGCTGGAATGCTAATTAGCCTCTGGCTGCACTTCCCACTGTCCGTCAGCCCGGGCTGCACATCACCCACCACGGGAGGTGCCGGCAATGCCTATCAGCAGACTGGACGGTGTATCGTTTTCTACTCGTAGACCTTTTCGACTCACCAAAATCCACACAACTAATCTGAGCCTCACTGCTGAGAATATTAATTGTGGTTTTGGACGAACTACTAGATAGAGTAGCAGCAGCTGCAGTCGGATGCCCTCAGGACTTGCAGGCTCGAAGGTGTAATAATTAGTCTGTGTGCAGCTGTCTCTGATTTGGGTACTCCTTCGAGGCTGGCTCCCAGCCCTGAGATTCAGAATGAAACGCCCAGTTGGATCCAGTGCTTTCAACGCTCCATCTCTGCTTTCTGAGGTGGCAGGCCATAGATGTGCTCTTTGGTATGCTTTGGGAGGGGCGGGGGTAGGGTGGGTTTTGTTGGAGAAAGAAATGCTCCTGAGCCAGCTCAGTGTCATAGTAGCAACTTTCAAAAGAGCTACCTCTGACCTCTTTTTCAGCAGCGCAAAGCTTAGAAGTGAGAGATCTATAAATGACAAGGAGTGTGTAGGCCTCCGGGCTGTGGCAGAGAATAATATGAACACACCCCAGACCTGCGCTGCCCATGAAACAGCAGGGGCATGTCCCTGGCATCTGGCAACTGCAGGTCAGGGGCTCCATGCCCCCTGTACAGACAGTGACCTTGGAACCAGCTGTGAAACTTAGTGTGTGACCCGAGTGAATGACTTAACTTCCAGACCTGTTTTCTCATCTGTCACATGGAGCTAATGATACCTCTTGTCTGTCTCAGATCAGAGGACATATTGAACCCGAAAGTATAGCTTAAACCACTTTGCAAACGGGAGGTCCCTTATTATGGGGGTGGAGGCCTCAGGGCAAGTGCAGTGCTGGGAATGGAAGGGGATTGCAAATAATGGACATAGTTATCCACCTAATGGAAATCGTAACATGATGGAAATTAGAGAACAAATTGGCCAGGCTTTTCATTGACCCGTCAGAGGAAGGTTGGGGAAAAACTTGCAGGATTTTATTGCTTGTCTTTGCATTAGTCCTTCGAGGTGTAATGTACTTTCCCTTTTTTTGGCTTAGTATTTAGAAAAAGCAGCAGTCTTAGAAATCTTGTTGAAGCAAGAAGCAATTAAATGTGCTTTAATTATTTAAGGAAGAAAATAGTGCAGTGGTCACTTCTGGCTTCTGCCTCCTGGATTCAGTGAGTGCTGTAGGATCACAGAGAGCCGTACTTGTCCTGTGCTCACTTGCCTTATTAAGCTCTGCATGTGGCCCAATTAATACGGTGATCCAGAAGGCAAGGGAGGTGGCAGCGGCTTTGTGCTGGTGCCTTAAGGACTGGGGTGGGGGGGGCTGTGCTCCCTGCCTGGCTCCCTCCTGTCACAGGCCTGGCTCAGGAGGGGCCTCTGCGTGAGGCTGTGGGAGTCTGCTGGGGCTGCCGCAGCTCCCCCTGTGAAATACAATGTGTGAACTATTGATGCATCACACAGAATGATTCTATCTTCTCCCTGGATCAGAGGCAAGAGTGGAGCTATTGTTGATGAAATTAGAGGTGTGGGAGGGGTCTGTGGAGACAGAAATGGTGAGATGGCTCAGCTAACCAGACGAGAAAGCCATCTGTTTCCAGGGCTCCATCTCAGGGAGAAGGAACCTGCGTTGTGTCCTGTCAGCCACAGGACAGAGCCATGTGGGGCCTCCTAACAAAAAGGGGCTTTGGCGAGGTAGCTGTTTCAGCGCGCCGTGTGTGAAAATGCCTCCTTCCATCCAGGTGGAGACCTGACTTGGCTTTTTGTTGTTGGTTTGTTTACCACTAGATGTTTTTTCAAGGAGCACAGTTCTCACCTCTACAGCTTGTTTAGAAGGACAGAGAGTGGTGGATGATAAGAATGACACTGGCTACCAGAAAAGTCTCCCAAATCTGGATCCTGGGCATTCTTGGATCCCTTGTGGCACCGTAGGTTGTGAGTCCCGTGACTCAGTGACTGTTCTCGTCCCCCATAGATGGAGCGGCAGCGCCTTGCCCGAGAGAAGCAGATGAGGGAGGAGGCTGAGCGCACGAGGGATGAGTTGGAGAGGAGGCTGCTGCAGATGAAAGAAGAAGCAACAATGGCCAACGAAGCACTGGTGATTTCCGAGGAGTCTGGTCCCAGGAGGCTAGACCTCCCGAGCACCACAAATTAGCGACATTTGCTTTGACATTTCAGCTTAAAAAAAAAAAATCAGTGCCTTTTCTCTCCACCTGTGCTGGCAGAAGCAGATTTAGGCTGAGTTCATATGCAGACAGATTCCCTCACCCTGGGGTGCCTTTAAGGCAGGGCCTCTCAGCTGCAGTACCACTGACATTGAGGCCAGATTGTCCTTCATGGTGGATGTGTCCTGCCATTGAAGGACATTTAGCAGTAGCCCTAGTCTCTACCCACTAGATGTTGGTTGGTAGCACCACCTTACCCTTCATTTGTGACCATCAAAAATGTCTCCAGGTATTGTTACATGTTCCTGGTGGCAAAGTCTACACTGGTTTGGAACCGATTTAAAGGGAAGGGACAGAGTTAAGTTGGTTTTCTCCCTCAGAAGCCTCAGTTCAGTGGAGACTCAAAAAAGATGCTTTCTTGTTGCTCCCCATGAAGGGGCCTTCTGAAAAGGTGAGGGGTGTGGCTTGTCATCTGTTGCCAGGGCATTATCTGAGGGGATGCTCAGTGGCAGGGCCCCAAGGAACCCGAGGCTCTGGTTCTTGCTGACCCGAGTGTCTGAGCTCAGATGTGGTGGGATGACAGGCGTGGGGTCCCCACTCCCGCTGAATGCCCTCTCCTCTCCAGATGCGCTCTGAGGAGACAGCTGATCTACTGGCGGAAAAGGCCCAGATCACTGAGGAGGAGGCAAAACTCCTGGCACAGAAGGCTGCAGAGGCTGAGCAGGAAATGCAGCGCATCAAGGCCACCGCCATTCGGACAGAGGAAGAGAAGCGCCTGATGGAGCAGAAGGTGCTGGAGGCCGAGGTGCTGGCGCTGAAGATGGCTGAGGAGTCAGAGAGGAGGTCAGAGGCGGGGTGGGGGCCTCGGCACTGGGGCCCAGGCGGGGGCTGCTCAGTACTAACCCTGCCCTGAGGCAGAGCTTGACTGCAGCCACCCTCAGGATGCTCAGTGTTCTGGGGAAGGGGACAGGCTTCTTCTTTGCTAGGTTGGTGGGTTCTGGTGTTTAATCCAATTGTGGGGCTGGAGCTCTTGGAAGGGACACGGGTACGACATGGGTACACAGTTCTCTCACTGAGTGGACCTCTGGTCATGCTTGTGCCTTTGTGATAAGCCCTTGTCCCTCTGATACCGTGTTCGCAGGAAAACCATCGAGCATGTCCTCAGACTGCTTTTAGCTGAGGAGATATAAAGAGGCTCTTCTTACATTTAAAAAATGTGCTCCTTTTCCCTGCTCTTCCAGTTCAGATTTACCAGTTGAAGTAAACAATACCCAGGAATGTTGCCCTTGGCTTGGAAGTTCTGATTTCATGTAAATGTCCCACCCACCCTGCACCATCCTTGTTTGTCTCATCTGGTGCCATCCTCAGGACAAACCCAGGTCCCCCTTCTCCAGGGGAGTAAGGGGGAGAGGAGGTCTCTTTCCTCCACCTGTCATCTTCTATAGAGGTGACGGCTCCTCCTTTTGTTGTAGGGCCAAGGAGGCTGATCAGCTGAAGCAGGACCTGCAAGAAGCCCGGGAGGCAGAGCGAAGAGCCAAGGCAAAGCTCCTGGAAATCACCACCAAGCCCACGTACCCGGTGAGCCTGGGCAGGGGCTGCCAGGACCTGGTCACCTTTCCTTCTCTCCAGCCCTTTGCTTCACCTGGTGGTGCCTCAGGATGGCTGTTCAGGCAAACGCATGGCTCAGCAAGTGATGCAGAGAGCCTGCAGTTAGGGTCTGGGCAGACCGCCTGGGCTGCCATTTGGCCTTGGACTAGCCAGTCACCTCTCTGGTTGCCAAGATAACAAGCAACAGGGCCTTTTATAGCTCTGAAATGTTTTTCTTATTCCAAGTAATATAGTCCCAAATTATTCTCAAGAGAACTTGCTTTCTAGCCTCTTAGAGCCAAACTGAATGCAATCTTCAGCTATCAGTGTGTGCTGTACACACCATAATTGTAGTTCTGGGCAGGATACCCTGCATACCTCATATGCACCACTGCCGTGCAAGACCCAGCTTCCAAGAACCAGCTTCCAAACTCAATTTTGGGACAGGGAGGCAGACTTCAATTAAATAGGGTCACAAAAGGAACAGAGAAGCCTCTTTTTTCCCCCCTCTGCGCATTCAGTTTAGAATGCTCTCCTGTTTTCTTCCATATTATAATACCAGGAAGAAGGGGAGTCTTTATACAGGCAGGGTGCACGGGTGCCTAGAGGAGAACTTAGCCCCAGCCTGGAGGGGCAGGAGGGGCTCAGGATGGTGGCTGAGCTGACTCTTGAAGGGTGAGTAGAACTAGCCAGGTGGGAAGGGGCCAGTGAGTCATTCCAGGCAAGAGCACAGATGTACGCACAGCACAAACGCCTGCACTGCACATTCACACGCAACAGAGAGGCGCACGGGGCACAGAGGCATACGCTGCCCAGGGTTGGAGGTGGAGGCAAATGTGAGCAGTTGGCTATTTCATCTGTTGTGATTACCTGTTTCCAATGCCACAGGCCACCCCAAACCAGCCATGTAGTTCAGAACGTGTTATTCTCTCTCATGGCTCGTGGGCTGATTGGCCAGTGGTCCTTCCTGGGGATCCCTGGGCTGATTGCAGGCAGATGGTAGCTGGGGCTGCAGCTGTCTGAGGGCTCATCTGGGCTGGACACCGCAGATGTGTGTGTTTTTAAAACACACATCAGAGCAAAATTTATATGCTGCTCTAACAATAAATAAATAAATAAACCCTGGAGGAGATCATCCATATCAAGTTTTTAGTCATATTTCGTTGTATGGATGGAGTATAGTTCATCTAAATAGTCCCCAGTGGATGGGTATTTAGTCTGTTTTCTTTTGCAATTATGAACAAAACTGCACGGAACATCCCTGAACACAAACATTTGCATGTATATGTGGATGTATCAGTAGAAGAAATTCTCATAAATAGAACTGTGGGGTCAAAGGAGACAATTGTGACAGAAGGCCAGGGTGGTTCTGGGAGGCAGGGCCTGCACTGTGCCCATTGCCTCTGTGGCTGCTGGAGCGTCGGTGGTTAATACAGCAGTGCCCTTCTGTTCTTATAGAGCCTAAGCCCCCTAACTGGAGATTTCTCATTTATAGCCCATGAACCCAATTCCAGCACCATTGCCTCCTGACATATCAAGCTTCAACCTCATTGGTGACAGCCTGTCTTTCGACTTCAAGGATACTGATATGAAGCGACTGTCCATGGAAATAGAGAAAGAAAAGTACGTAGTCTCCCCACCTCCGCACCCTGCTTGGGCAACTGGTGAACTAGAGTGAGTTGGTCCTGTCCTGGGGAAAGTGGGGGGGTCACTGCCACAGCTGGTCACCAGCTCCTGCAAAGGTTTGCTTTGTTGTTACCGCCTGGAGGAAGAATTTCCTAATCAGAAAGGAAGGACTACAGACCAGCATTCAGTCTTCCAGGGTAAAAATGATGCTTGATTGGTGACCTGGAATTTACAGTGGCTCAAAACCTCACCTAAAGCATGGGGCAGGCTCTCAGGGATCTCCGAGTTGGCAGAGAGCTGTGCACATGGTAACAGTGTGTGACAATGAGCTAACATGGCACTAGAACATGTTTCCTAGTTGTGTTCTCTGGTGGCTCAAATCTGTGACATTCCATGTTTAGAACAAGGGTCAGAGAAACAAAAAAGAAACTTGGGCTCAAGGCTGAGGACAGCAAATGTCCAGGTCGGGCCTGCCTGCTGCGTGAGACAGCACTGAGTTCAGTCCCGCACGCCTGTTCCCAGCAGCTTCTGCTGCTTTGTTCTCCTGCATTTTATGGTCATTGGACGTGGACCTAAGATGGGAAGCAGTCCCGCTGCAGAGGAAACCTGAGGTGCCCCCCAGTTCCCAGCCGGCGGCAAATTGGCCTGCTGTGCCACAGCTTGGCACAGAACATTCTCAATAGCTGCCATGCACTGAGTGCCTGGGTGTCAGGGTGTTTTAGCTTTTTATCTTATTTCATTCCCATTAACTAGCATCAAACTGACATCAAAGGTAGGTTTCAGTGTTCCCATTTAGAAATGAGAACGCAGATTTAGAGCGTTTAATGAACTTACATCACACAGCTGAAGGGGGATCAGAACCAGCATTCAGCTCCGAGCCCGTCCAAGTCTCTGTGCTTTACCTTGTGCACTATCCTTGGGACAGTGTCTCCTTGGAGCCCAGGGTGGGCCACCACCAGCTGGCTGTGGCTCTGTGGGCTCTCCACACGGAGATTAAAACCAGAGTCTCTGTCTGTGATATCTTCTGCTGGAGTTCCCCTTCCAGCCATCCACCATTGTCCAGGCATGCTAATAGCATTACATGGCTGTGATCAGGGTGAGGCTACATCTGTCTGTGTCCTGCTTTTTTATAGTTCCTGTTTTCTTATTACCCGTGCACATATTGTCAGAGTCCACGTACTAGCATGGGAATCACTACAGAATATTCCTCGGTGTCTGTGTTGCATGGGCCATGCCCTTATAGTTGGGACATTTTGGGGATGGTTTCCAGATTTTCATCATCATAGATACAGTATCTACTTGCAAGTGATGATGGGGATTGTTTTATTCCTAATGTTGGCTGGGTGAGTGTCCATCATCTTTAGGAGATGATAACATCAAATAAGTAGGGATGTGGCCTCTGCCAGTCAGAAGTCACTGGAATGGGATTACTTCCCCAAGAAGTGTTGAGACAAGAAAATTGTTTTGGATGCCAGGAGGCTTATTTCATGTGTGTGGTGTTTTTTTTGTACAGAACTAAAAGCTATCTATTTCAGCTGGTGTTTGTAGAGGATTTTATGAGAGCTTACAGTAGAGTGGAAGAGGGATTTCCTGCACTTTCTTTTATTTAATTCTGACCACAGCCCTGCGACCGTTACTCCAATTTTATGGACAAGGAAACTGATTCAGACCAGTTAAGTGACTGGCTCAAGCTCCCATGTTCCATGAGTGGCCAAGTAGAGACCTGAACCCCGGGCTTCAGACCCTGGATCCCATGCTGAGTGTTTGTAGGTCTGGAGCATCTCAACCTTGCTATGTCTCACCGTTGGCCAAAGCCATGATGCACAGTGTCCTCTTTCGGCAGAGTGGAGTATATGGAGAAGAGCAAGCATCTGCAGGAGCAGCTCAATGAACTCAAGACTGAGATCGAGGCCTTGAAACTCAAAGAGAGGGAGACAGCCTTGGATATTCTGCACAATGAGAACTCTGACCGGGGTGGCACCAGCAGCAAACACAATACCATTAAAAAGGTACCAAGTCTCCTGTCTTTTGCTGGTCAGGATCGTCATTAATGAAATGTGAGGTTGGCATCTGGTTTCCTTAGTAGCCAAATCATTAAACTATTGTCATTTTTAATATGTAGTTAGTTGAGGAAATTTTTTTGACTCATGCCTAAAAGGGAATTTAATCTGCCAATGACTGTGAACCCATTGGCTTGAAGGAAGGGGAGCTTTTAATACCAGCATTTCGTGGTGAAATGAATCACTGTTCCTGGGCGGGTTTTGATCCATCATTTAGCGGTAAAGCAATTCTGTCTTTTAAGCCAAGGGGGGTTCTACCCAGGGAGCTGCCTTACTTAATGAGAAAGCAAAATGAGATGGAGGCTGTTGAGAATAGACTCTCCCTCTAGTCTTTTTGTGTTTTTTTAAGTGGCAAGGACTATAAAGTTCTGTTCTTGATTTAGAAACCAAATGTGGAATTTTTAACTTTGTTCATACTTACAGGGAAGTATCTAGAGGAACCTTAATGTTTTAAAAGATGAAACTTCATTTATGTGGCTAACAGTTTCATATTTTTCTCCACTGATATTTGGAGCTTTTAGCATTTTAGAGGAAGTTCATTTCCATCCTAAATATCAGCCCAAGAATATGCTTCTCTGATGTAGGGCAAAGCAGAAAGGTCCTCTCCTGCTCCTAACAGCCCAGGGTCAGGTTAACACCTATAAAATAGGTGTCATTAGGAGAAGACTGGTCATTGAGTTCAGATAATGATAGTTTAGATATGTTTAATTTTTTACTCTTTACCTTTAGTCTTTAAAATGTTCTCCCAGTTTAAGGAATATCTGTTTTCAGTGGTTAAGCCGTATCTGAAAACTACCTGCCATCATTGATGGGCATAGTCGGGAGCCCCAAATTCTCTCTCTTGACTGCAGCTAGTATTGGCATCGGGTAGAGAATTCCTTTTAATAGCGTAACCCAGAAGGAAAGACCTTTCCACATTTGCATTCTTCTTACTGCTGGCTTCTGTCATGTACTGCATTTCCCTTCCAAAAGCAAATTATTAAACAGTTAGCAAAAGGGGAGCTGAAGTGAGGCCTCAGCCAGTGAACAGAGAAGTAAAACGAGTGGGCCGGTGAGCCAGTCAGGCCTCGGAGGAGCTGCCCCAGGCCCCTCCCTGCCCCTACTCACTCATCTGGGTACCAGAGTGGCCTCATCTCTGCCGCTGCTGCAGTGAGCTGGGCCCTCAGCCACAGGAACCTGGAGTGCTAAAAGCTGGAGAGACCCATTTCCAAGCCATGAAAACAAACAAATGAAGTCACTTGTCACAATTTCAGGCCTGTCTGAGCATTTTGCAAATGGCACATGTGGCATTGTTGATATCACAGGGTATGTTTTTGTTTTTCTTCATTTTGCTGGTTTAGCCTCAAGCCCAAGGCAGAAGACCTATCTGCATTTGAGCCCTCAAAGTAGGTTATGCCCAGGTACTCTGTATGTGGTGATGGTACTGCCCTCTGTGATACTAACCCATGCATGAGCTTGCCTGTCTGTGTTCCCAGTCCACGCCAACCCCTCCCAAGGGCAGGTGGCGTCTGGGTACTGGCCACAGCATGCTTTGAGTCTGAGAGCAGCCGTGTACCCTGTGGGGCCACACCAGCCTCCGGGGGTCCAGAAGTCTGCCTCATTCTGAAGAGCATGTCAGTGGGGCTGTAGGACTGGTCGTCCTTCACATCTTGTGTCACTGTTGGTCTGGAGAAGGTCACTGCTTCTTGTCTAGTCAGGTCTGTCTAAGTCTTTCGTCTTGGTGGCATACTTCTTTGATAATAACCCTAGCATGGAAACGGGGTAAATTTGGGTGTTTCTAAGACTATTGTCTTTAACTCAAGATCAAGACCTTTCATGTGGTGACAGCCTCTGAAGACCCATGGTCTCACCTGACAGCATCTGGTCATGGAATGAAAGGGCTGCCCAAGCTCACTCAATTCCCTTAAAGCCTCACCTTTCTGGACACATTCATTTTCTTGTCAAGTAAAGCAAACTAATAGCACACGGGTCTGAAGTGTAGTCAGTCTCAGTGGACCGTCTGTCTGCCAGCGCTCTAAAGGCCACCTCTGCTTCAGCTCCGCCACAGCCCGGGGCGGAGTTGTGATCGCAGTGAACTCACATTGGGATGGCGCAGTTGCGGGCACCCAGTGGTTGGGCAGTCGGTGGTTGTTGAGGGAATTAATTGAATGCTACTTTTCTTCTGCAACAGTGTGTATCCTCCCAACGTTCCTGGGCAGTGGACAGAATTTATTATGCCCAATAGTAAAATAGCATCCTGCCGCTGCTCCTCACCTAATACCCTGTAGTACCCAGTGAGGCCACCAACATCCGACAGTCACGTAGGATGTGTTCTTTCGAGTCCTCACCGTGGTTTCTGCTGCTAGAAGAAAATAAGCTCATTGGAAGCTTTCTACCAAAAAATGAGATCTGGCATAAATAGATCCTATTTGTGGTTGTTATCCAAGCAAGAGAGGTTAGCTATTAAAGTCCCAGATGGATCTCATTATAAGATGGATTCGAGCTGTCAGTGGTTTCAAGAACCCATGGCATAAACCCCAGGTTGTGTGTGACACTTTTATTTAGCGGGCTCCTGTTTCTTAAGCCTTCATATCACATGTTGGTGTTGAAATACCTCAACACTGGACGGTGCATGCTCTGAGCAGGGATACCCAGCACCAGGATGGGCAAGCCAGGTGGATCATCCGCTCAGTAGTGACCCCTGGCACCCAGAGGACCCCAAGATTTGGTTTCCTGGACTGTGGCTGGCATAGAGGCAAGCAGAAAACCCCTTTTTATTTCAGCCTGTGCTGTCAGATATTCCTGACATCTGACTGCACTGTTCCACTGTGATATAATTTCATCTTCCCTCTTTCTGTAATGATCCAGAGCGTTTAAATTCTTCAAGGGGCCTGATTTTGACCATCCGTTCTCACTGAGCTATTATTGTAGACAAATGAGTTTTGATTTGTAGTCAGATTTGTACTGCTGCTAGGACATACAGAAGGCCTTTTTTTTTTAATGTCTTAATGTGAACTTGTTTTCAGAGCAGGCTGCCAGGCTCCAGTTAATCAAGAATTCTGTTGAATCCAGGGTTAATACAAGCATAGACTTGGCTTTTAACACAACTGGAGTTATCTCAGCGTCACTAGATTAAGTAGTGGTAGTTTTAGCTACATGTGAAATTTGATTACTTTCCATTTATTTTGACTTTGGTGGTCCTTGGGGCTAGGACTGGCGACTAGCCAGCTGCCTGTGCTAGGGTGGCTGTGGGCTTGTGCCTCCTGCGGTCTGGTCTGAGGCGAGAAGAGAAACACCACTGCAGGCTCTGGAAGTGTGGGTGCCTAGAATGTCAAGGGCAGAGCTCCATCTAGAAAGTCTGGGATGAGAACTGCCAAGGCTGGTGGTGAACTGGAGAGTTTCCACTGTCCTGAAGTGCCATTAATCTTGGTTCAAACCAGCCTGCATTGATTTTTGTTGTTTTTGGTCATACATTTCTACAAGGAGGGAATGGTTCTACCTACCATGACAGTTGTGTTATTCCTCCCCTTCACTTTCAGTGTCGTTCTGCCTCACCACGAGGTCTTAGTGTCTGATGTGCCTCAGTGGTACCCCCGGGGGCTGGGTAACACACTAATTCCGAGGGTTTACCCCTGGGTTACCCAGGTTACCATGTTCCCTTGGAATGCTGAGAAGCAGTCTGGTCTGTTTAACTGAGGCGACTGCTGCTCTGCCACTTACTTTCTCTGTAATTCTTACTTTCCCTTAAGGCTCAGTGTCCTCACCTGTAAAAAGTAAATAAAATGGTCCTCACCCCCTGGGATTATTGCTGGGATTAAATGAGGTCATGCACAGGAAACACTTCGTTCACCGTAGGAGCTCAGCAAGGGCTTCAACATATATAAAGAAACAAATCTGCTTGTGAGCCTGTGATGAAGGACACACCACATTTATATATACAACTTGTAGTACCCATATCCACTAATTGTATTAATTTCCATGTGTTTGGAGGTAAAAACCTTTAAAAAGCCAGAATTCACTGGTTACTCTGATTTGGGTTCGCAAGTATATATTTTCCTCTCCCACTAACTCCCTGCATTTTCGCTTTTTCCCACTTGGTAAGCAGTGCAACTCATTTGAAATTTGCACCTGAATCAGAGTGGCACCAGGGATCAAGCTCAGAAGCCACCCTTGGGTTGGAACCTAGATTTGTTTGCAGGGAGGGAGGTTGATAGCAACACTAATTCCTGGCATCTGAGTCTTTGGAGTGAGGGAGTGAGGTCCGGCAGTGAGGCTGGGGTGAGGGGGACACAGGTGTCATGGGCTCCAGCTTGTCTTCAGAGCCATCGTGCTGATGAGGTGAGCGGTGGCGGGTGTGACTGAGCTGTGCAGCACACTTTGGAGGTGAAAATGCAGTCCTAGAGTGCACACACTTAAGGGTCCTGCTTGCATCCCCTCTCAGGGGACAGCTTCCACTCCCCAGCCCGGAGCTGGTCTGCATGCCAGCAAACCCATCATCATTTTTTGTGCCTGTGGTCTCCAAGGGAGCACAGGGATTTCAAAGGATATCGACAGATGAGAAATCACGGGGGGG